TACTATACGAGATTTCTATCTGGTTTCCTCTCAGTCAGGCAATTTTAATATAAAACGAGATACCTTGTCTCCCGACATCAATATGCTTTCCTTGTTTTATCCATGTTACTTTCGCTTATTATTAATATGTACTATTCTTTTAACAGGCAATCTCTTCCTGAAATATTATACCTGCGACTCTAAGAAGCATGGATGCCCGTGGCGATCATTGTTTACCCGAAAACATCAAACAAAATCATACAAAAAATACGAATCGAAGAGAAATCATACTGTATCCGAACAACCAATAAATTTATTACAAAATAAAAGAGAAAGAGGAGATGTACAAGAAAGAGAGGGAGTTATCGAAAAACAGCTGATCAGAAAAAAAGGGCAAAAGCAAGAAGAGCGACATCTACGCAACCAGTATCGCTACCAGCAATAACAAGTGGCAGATGAAGGAGGGATAGAATAATAAGAAGAAGAAAGTGAATTATTTGGTAATATACCAATGCTAGACTATACAAGAGTACCGTTAAGATGCGCTGAAAATGACGATTCGATTGAACGACTAGCACTTAAATCGCAAACGAGCTGCGACGTTCATATTAAGGAAAGCCTAAGGAAAACATTCCGGGAAATGGAATTGCAAAATGAACATGCTCTGCTGTTGAAAGAAAATAAAAATTTGAAAGCACAAATAAAATATGTGAAATAAAAGCTCTAAAGAGCCGAAATGTCCAGAAATCAATTGCGTGAGAAGTTGAAGAGGTTAGATGTCTTGAGGTGGAAACATTTATGTAAGGTCAAAATACGCTTAAGTACGAAGAAGGAAAAGTTGAAAAAAGATGGGCTAAGAGACAGAAATTAAAAAATATACTGCAGCAAAACGATCGCTATGAAGTCAGCCCACGAAATAATCGTTTTCCGAATTCCATAGTTTCTGAAGAATCGATTTCTTCAATGATTCTAGGAGCATTCAAAGAATAACTCTTCTTTACAGCCGAGAAAGATCCGCGGTCGAAAAGACATGAAGAAGGTTTCAAACGTCAAGAGAAAAGGCGAAGAGCCGTTGGGATTTCCTCTAAGGCAGAAATATACACTTAAAGGATACAAGTCTTTGATTGCGTCATTTTGGATGGTTTTCCTTTATAGATCTATTTCTATAGAGATATACATACACATTAGATATGCCCAATATTTGTAAATATATGATTTATTTTCTTTGTTTTTGTTACTAAATCATTATATTTACATTTTGTACTATTTTTAACACTACTTTGTATGTATCATGGTTTAAAAATATAGTAGTAAATGATGAATTTCTCTTTCTAAGGCAACGTACGATTTATTAATTAGTTTCATTCCTGCGCCATTTTGTTATTCTCATACTTGTCTATCTCGGATAGAAAAATAGATATGAACTTTTCTGTAAAACCGTACGATTAAATAGGTTTCCGTAATGTGAAACCCAACAGGTTCTTGTTTATGTTAGTATACAACCAAATAGGGTAGATGCCTAACTTTCAGCTTAAATACATAGGTTCTTGTATATGCTAAATTACGACAAAGCATTTAATTTTATAGATCGTTTCGTACGTTAATTTGAGTTGAACTTAGCACTTGGCCGCATGGTGCAGCACTAGTACGGGAACAAGCAGATCCATAAGCGCGAGCACTGTTCTTAACCATGGACAACATATGTAACGGCTCGATACCATTCGCGCGATGACACGAACAGCTTATTCGCGACACAATACTGTTTGTATATTGTTACGGACGATGTTAACTCCCGACACAATATTCGTACTACAACGTCGTTAAGATGCCCTGTGACTCTGTTTTTCTGTAATTGCAATTTTTATTTTAATAAGCAAGCGCACAAGATATCTCGTCCGTGACGTAGTATGACTATGAACGATTTCTACCACAATCGTGAAATGTTTCGTTTGTAGTTGCAAAGTTGTTAAAAGCATATTAAGAAATCATAAAAAATCTACTAACAATATAAAATCTTTTTGAAAGGATTAAAAGCGGCCCTTTGTAAACTTATGAATCAGTACTGGTCAAAACTGTCGCAATTTGAGTATTTAAATCCGTACAAATCCGTACAAATTATTTAAACAGGGTGGCCAGCGCAACGGCCGCTACAAACTAATAAACACTACTGACAACCTGATAAAAAGATGTTCTCAACTAAAGTTAATTATTGATGAATTTAAAATAAATTGCATTACAAAAAGATATGAAAAAGGTTTCGGATAAAGGGTAGTGTCCAAACTGCAAAATTTGTTACCTGAATGTGCCGTTTTGGAGTTACCTTAGATCGCTAAAAGAGAAACTGAGGGTTATTTTTCACGGAAATGAACAGTTCGCTATATGCTAAATTACGACAAAGCATTTAATTTTATAGATCGTTTCGTACGTTAATTTGAGTTGAACTTAGCACTTGGCCGCATGGTGCAGCACTAGTACGGGAACAAGCAGATCCATAAGCGCGAGCACTGTTCTTAACCATGGACAACATATGTAACGGCTCGATACCATTCGCGCGATGACACGAACAGCTTATTCGCGACACAATACTGTTTGTATATTGTTACGGACGATGTTAACTCCCGACACAATATTCGTACTACAACGTCGTTAAGATGCCCTGTGACTCTGTTTTTCTGTAATTGCAATTTTTGTTTTAATAAGCAAGCGCACAAGATATCTCGTCTATGACTATGAACGATTTCTATCACAATCGTGAAATGTCTCGTTTGTAGTTGCGAAGTTGTTAAAAGCATATTAAGAAAGCATAAAAAATCTACTAACAATACAAAATCTTTTTGAAAGGATTAAAAGCGACCCTTTGTAAACTTATGAATCAGTACTGTTCAAAACTGTCGCAATTTGGGTATTTAAATCCGTACAAATTATTTAAACAGGGTGGCCAGCGCAACGGCCGCTACAAACTAATAAACACTACTGACAACCTAATAAAAAGATGTTCTCAACTAAAGTTAATTATTGATGAATTTAAAATAAATTGCATTACAAAAAAGTATGAAAAAGCTTTCGGATAAAGGGTAGTGTCCAAACTGCAAAATTTGTTACCTGAATGTGCCGTTTTGGAGGTACCTTAGATCGCTAAAGCCGAAACTGAGGGTCATTTTTCACGAAAATGAACAGTTCGGAATATTCGAACTTATTAATATTTGGTGATCAAAGGTCTTAACTGTAGAAATTCGCGTAAGATCGTGATTACATAAAGAGGCAAAATAAATGATGACACAACCAATGACAACGTTCCAAAAGCTCAAATGCGTACAGGATAATCTATGCAGTAAGTTAAAAGTACCAAATTTTCAGAAAAGGTATATCGTTGAAATCTATGAGTACGTGACACGTGACCAGATTGGCCAAAATTTTATACGCGTTATTTTCTTGAAAACCGACCCTTATTTTCGACTGCAACAACTTCAAAACCTCTCAAATATTTTTCATTAAAAAGTCTCGAGGTCACTTTTACATGTTTTCTTAAATATGCATAATTATTTCCGTCACTTGTTGTGGATAACGTTGAGACAAATTCAGGAATAACAAATCAGCTTATCTTTTTTTAATAATTTGCTTACATCATTCCGAAACGAAATACTGTTTTTTATTGAACGTGCAAAGTCATCTCGCTATTTAACTCAGGAGAAATGTCATCGATCAACACGCTCGTTTGCATTTTGCGTTCGTGTATGTATATATACACTTGTTATACACATATACAACCGTCTTATTTCTGATGACAGATCACGCGTAAAGACTCGACGTTATCATCGTGACATAATTAGCAGTATTGACTTCTGAGTTGACTAATGAGAGAATGGATACTTTGTGACTAAATGTATTATAAGAATTAAGCACACTTGTCATACACTTGTTCATAGCATGTAATTGTATTATTATCGGGCATCTAATATGCATTCTCCAATTGCATGCCACCTTCGATATAGACACGACATAGAATTCTAAATGTTCTAATTTGTTCATTAAGTTCGGATGTGTAGAAGCAAATAAACTTTGAAACACTATATAGTTCTACATTTATCTAACTTCAAAGTTCTTCGATTATGTTAATGTGTGTTTTGTAAACTGTTGATTATAAATATCCTGACAAGTATGTAAATCGTTAACATCGACATAAATAATTGTCACACTGACAAGTTTAGAATAAATTGATAGTAGGTATATACACAATTATTATAAACGAGAAATGTGATTACTATTTCAGCCACGAAGTATCACCGAATTACGTTCGTATTTAACTTACGCGCCTGTAAGAAATTATTTGATTACATTTCCAAGCAAGTTGTTTAAAAGAAGCAACTTAACCTGTTTAACCTGATACATATTGCTGAATCTATACGTATATGTCTTAATATTATCTATATTTTATTGGAACAAATTTTTAGCAGTTTTTTACGTTACAGTCGAATATCATTACGGTATTCTGATTAACTTTTATTTAAAATATCTTTTTCTTTCAGATTAAAGATGAATTTTCAGATGAAAAAATCGTGGAGGTTGTTAACGCCAAACATCTTACACATATATTTATAATAAGTTAATGGAAAAATGGATTTATCGTTTAATAAAACAATGATATTAAAATAAATTTTGAAGGGGAAGTATAAATAATATTTCATGAATGTTTCATGGTAATAAATAATTCTTTAATAATTTAACTCATGTCACACTATACATTGTTATAATCGCAATATAAAACACATTGTAGGATTCGTTCAGTGGCAGTTTTCAACAACAAACATACTCTGTCGAATCAACTTTTAGAATCAGGAAAATCGAAATTAACTAACCCTTCGCAATCTTGCTACTTAATAACGCAAACATCGCATAATATTAGTAGCTACCACTTCATCGTCAATAAGAATTAAATATTCTACAGAATGTCTCGTATTTATGTAGTACTATGTACAGTTTAGGTAACTGTAAATTAATTTTACTTTGTCAACGACAATTCATGAAATACATATTAAGATAAGTATAATTGGCGGTTAATACGAAAAGTGATTCTTTTATGCTAGGTTCTTTTTCCGAAATGGTCTACGAAGGGTAGATATATCGACAGTTTAAAAGCATATCTCTAATATAGAGACAATGAACAAGAATTCCTATATTAATTTATACAGGGTGTTCCATCGAAAGGTTATTAGTTATACGGAAAAATGCAGAAAGAGTTTCAAACGATGCAATTCTTTTTAATAATTTTATCTAAAGAGGCACAGTTTTGGAAACATCCCGTATAATATTTTACATTAGAAAAATTGTGTTTGCTTTGAAATGGTCGCCGATTCTTACTTTAGAAAAATATATCAATTATGTTTTTGAGTAACAATCGACATTCAAATCGCATTTCCTATTATTCGTACATATACAAATTCATTTTACATACATTCACACATACGCGCGCGCACGCGTACCATATACATTCAGAGAAACTCGCTAATAAACGAAAATTAAATTAATTTAGCGTTTGATTCTTCTGCAAAGTTCAACTCTTCGTTTCAAATATTACTATTTTATAGATCGTCTCATTTTACATGCAACAAGGGTATCATCTCTAGTATTATATTCAATAATACATTAATAAGTCATAATATCGAAAATGACGTTACTCTTATTACTGCTAATTACCCTTTGAATATTGCAGCATACATTGCATTCTATTAAAAGCTTCAAGTTCGCGGTAAGAAATCATAGTAGATTACTTTATCACGATAGAAAAGCAATTTGCAAATCAATGGTATATTCATTGGCAATGAACTGTTTTAGAATTCTAGTACTATTGAAGAACGAAGAGTCAAATCAACGCTTTTTAAAATCTAATACTGCCTTACGATTTCTTCATTGAAGCCGACTTAATATCATTCTTGCTATTCTTAATCAGTTTTAAGTTTGAAACAATGATTTCCAGGTTTCCAAAAGTCTACAAGTTTGCCACTACTAAGGAACGCTGTCAATCATTGTTCAAAAAATATCAAAACCGACCGAGTTCTATGTATATACAATTTAATAATCAATGTCTGAAAAATCTGTAAGACATTTTCAAAGCATTAAAAAGGCTATCATAATTACAAGAATATGGTTCTTAAATTATAACAGGTTGGTTACAGTTGGTTACAATATTATAATAAAATTATCAAATTTAATTCATCTTCCTAATACGTCTTTTTTAATGCTCCAAAAACTACTTATCAAGACTTACGATCAAATGGAGTTTCAGATCCAAGAGAAACTTAAAAACAAATAGTTTTATCGATTACTTATGAAGAGGAATCATCAAAGACTGATTGGTCCGAGCAGGGTATGTAAATGGTACCCTGTCTTTCAAGAAAATTTTATATAAGGAGAAACTCGGTCGAATAATCAATCTTACAATATTATGCTCTTTACTGACTATGAACAAAATTATACGCTTTCATCTAACTTTCGAATTCGTTGATTATTTCAACAATTCAATTTCATGAACCCTTTTAATAAAATAATAGGACCTGTTTTTAATTGTTTAATTTATAAAAGTGTAAGATCTAGTATCTCACTAGTTAAACTCTATATTTCATATTACTCCACAAATTCTGATATAAATCGTCTTAAAATGTATAAAAATAATATTTTGGAGTTTTTCTGACTTTTGGAACTAATACAATAAAATTTCTATTACTTTATATTGTACTATAAAGCTGAAATAAGATATTTGAATTAAACTATTTTATTAAATATTTTTATTTGTTGCTACAAATTAATAGAAATTGAGAAAGGAATTTTACTGGAATACATTTAAATTTATCAGTTCATAAATATTCGTCTTATATATTTATCTAAAATTAATTTATTAATTCATTTAGTACATAAATTTAAAAATTGTATGAAATACTGACAAAGAAAATCCAGAAATCAGAAAAACGTTATGCATCATTTTTCAGAGACTGTATGGATATTCTGCTAGATAATTTCTAATTAATGGTGGCAAGTGTTCTGTGGGTAATTTGTTCCTATTAACAACTAACCTGGCCAAATGACTAAGAGACCTAACTTCTTTAACTAAAGGCTTCGTCAAATAAATTTCACTATACAGTTGTCCACTATAATCTACCCAAACTTCCTTTCTATGTTCATCAACACTTTTTGAATATTCCACGTAATATTCCAACATCTTAATTGGACAATCAAAAAGAGGAATCGCAAAGGCAAGCCTAGGTTCAGCATCTAGTCGAAACTGTCCCACAAAATAGTGAACTCTAACAGAGGTAGGTCCTCTAGCAGTCTGTACAGACACAGCAAACATATATCTGCTATCTGAACTATCTCTCATCAGCCATCTGCCAATCGCAGCATTTTTTAATAAATTTTCACTCTGTTGCCAACTAAGACCTTCGTGATACCAACCACAAGTTTGTAAAAGTCTTTTAACTTCGCTCAGTCTAGCTGCATCCCTGTTCATCATATAATTGTCAAAACTCCAGGGACATGGCATTAACCAAGAGACTGGTGTAGTTGGAGTTCTGTCTCTTCCTTCATCAAAATTTTCTTCGTTATTCTGAGTCTCATTTTTCTGCACTAAACCTCCACCATTAAAATTGTTTCTAGTTCTTGAAGTTATACCTGCCAAAGATTCAGGCGAATTTGTAGTAGTTGCAGTTATATTTACTGTACATTGTCCTAAACTTGCAGGAAGCTGTACAGTTGCATTTACTTGAATCTGTACTCCTGGATTAGAATTTAAAACCATGGAGTTACGATTTTCAGAAACTTGAAAATTATTTGATTTAACATGATAAAGTTTCTGAACATTATTACAACAACAATTAAAATTTCGATCTTGATCTAATTCTTGACCATCTCCTTTCGAACTTTTAGCTTGTTGAAATTGCATGACTGGCACATTAGTCACTTGAAAATTTGAAAAAACTGATTTTGCTTCACAATTTTCAAATGAAGTTCCCTCTTCTGCTTTTTGCGGTAGGATATTTCTTCGAGTCCCTGGTAATTCCTGACAACCACTTGGAGGTATTAAAAACATCCTTTTATCATGAGTCACACTTTCTTGTTGATTCCTCTGTTCATGAAATACAGTAGAGACTTCTTGATTTTCAGTTGATAATGTCTTTTGCACGAAACATCCACCACCAGACAATTTTGGACGGATTTCCATATGTGGTGTTTGCATAAGAGTTCCAGAATCTGTACTCTGAATTAAACAGCCTCCAGATTGTATACTTGGTGTTGTGATTGTTACACTTCCTCCAGTTAAATCGCAACTTGTGGTGATTTGACACCCAGAACCATTTTTTTGAATTTCTTCATTAATTAATGGAAATCCAAGAACTTGTGTATTTTTTTCAAATTTTTGGAGGAAACCTTCCTTTTGTTTATCGATTCTTGGCTTTTCCAAATCAAGTGTCATTGATGGAAAGTTGAAGGAATTGATAACAGGTTGTATAATAGTTGGTGCATTTATAAAACAACCACCACCACTATTATAGCCTTCAGGAACTAGCAGGCCACCATAATAACAGGTTGTTGGATGAATTAGAGTATTATCTTTGTCCATATTTTGAGCTCTGCAACAACCTGGAGCTGGAAATCGGTGACGACAGTTTGGGCACATTACCGTCAACATTTTTTGTAAAACTACTTTGTTTTCAGCATAACAGTCTTGTATCTGTAAACAGAAAAGACAAAGATCATTTTAATATTTTGATGATATAGCACGTACAGTATAAAAATATTCTAAAATATAAAACATATAAAATATTATAAATATTCAATCTGAATATATAATAAATATTTCTTTAATAACATTTGATTTATAATTATTAAATTATACAAAAGTCAGATTTAATAATAGTAAAAATCAATTTAAAATACGATAAAAACAAATTATTATAATTAGCAAAATACATATAATTATTTACTAATATTATTTGAGCGAAATCATCTAGATTTAAGGTATATTACTATACATTAAAAAAGCTATTACTTCTTACAATTAGCCAAATAAAATGGATCACACTTCCAATAAAAATCTATTAATTGTAAATATATTGTACTCTTATAATATAGCTTAATATAATATTCAGAAGCACCATGTATTACTTATATAATTTTTATAGAAGTATATTTTATAAAAAATATTTAATTATTTAAATTAATAGGATAAAAATGTTAATATGAATATAAATAAAAAAATATTAGAAGAAAATAAAGCAAATTGTCTTAAAATGCATTAAAATTTTTATAAAACTATACGGCAATGCTTTATAATCATTTGCTATACGCGATTATTTATAAGTGACTGGCATAATTTACGTAATTGACCGCATTGCGTAAGATATTTTCCATGAAAATCTGTTCCAACTAAAAATACTAACATGCCTCAGTAATTTTGTTTTTGTCTTCATTTTACTTCAACGCAGTAAATCTTGACTATATTAAATTTTAAATAGTATCTTGAACCTTGGCTCTCGACGTTTTTTATTTACATGCTAATTTTATTTCAGCCTGATTAATTAATTTAAATTATTAATTTTTAGGTTACGATGCTATTGCATACATGATTAAGTAAATTTAAACGTATCTCCAATGAGTCATAACTTACATAAAAAAAATAATTTGTTTTTAATTATAGAGCTATTTCATTCTACAAAGTTCTAGAGTCTTTTACAATCGAAATTTGATCCCTTTTAACAGTGAAAAAAGGAAGAAGAGGAAGAAAAAGATTACGTTTCTTTAATTCCACCTTACTTTATTAGCACATTATAATCAAGTCATAAAATAATTATACACCACTTGCAGCTGTTTCTTGTTCTAAGAATAAAACGTTTCACGTTCAACCCGTGTTCTTGCAAGGTTGATCAACAGATGTAAAAAAAAAACAGTGAATAATTGTACATTGCGTAGTAAACAAAGGAATTCGAACGGAATCAGATTATTCTCATTCTTCTGGATCTTCTTAATTACTAATATTTTAAACATTGCGTGGAAATCGTTTCTAAGATTGACGAATTTGTCCATGAGAGAAAAAGAAAATGAAATTTCTATAAAAACGATAAAATTACACAATCCCGTTAATCGGTAATTTCTGTTCACTTCGTCAGGGATGAATGCATCTCTGTTACCATTCGATCAATACACACGATCGTAACGTCGTTATAAAATCAAACAAAGTACCAAGAAATAGTCGTGAAACGCAAAATGAGGAATATAAAGAATTTGTCTAATGAATTTAAATCGATTTCTCATGCATATCCCCCTACCAACAGATCGGTCGAGTCACTCGTTGACATAAGAGTCCGTTAACCTTGTCAGTGTCTCACTGAGGTTATTTAAATAATCGACGAAACGTCAGGCGCAACTTCCACGTACGGCTTTACGATTCATAGTTTTAAGACCAGGTGTCGCATTCTCCCGTGATCCCGGCAGGAATAGAGACGCATCTTTCGACATCGTTCGCGCGCACCGCAGCTGCCTTCTTTTCCCATTGTGTTTTAATGGGCCACGTGGCAGAGAGATGTCCGAGTGTTAGTAAAGCGGCACGGAGCCGCTTTTCCACGAACGTGTCGCAACGCTAGAAGGCCAAGCCCCCATTTAGAAGTTGTTCTTGGCCTCTCCAACTCCCCACCACTGCACACCCTCTCTTTGCCCCACTACTGGCGCCGACCAACTGACAATATCCCTCTCCTCTCCTAACCTCGCAACGACACTACTGGTTTCCCTATATCAATCATATTCGGAGCTTTTACCAAATATTTGCTCGTTTCGTGCGAGATAAACTTCATGTTTGCAATTTAAAACAAACCTTGAATGATAATAACAACATACGCGTCGGTATTTGATTAAATTTGAAAAGCAAACACACAAGATCGCTAGGAATATTTTCAATTTTCAAATATCACCAACTGCGGTATTCGAGCTTGAACAAGCGTTTAATCGAAATACCACTAAATAGCATTGTACTAATAGCCGCTGTTCTCTTTTTGTTCTCCATTTGTATCAAGAAAATGAGAATTATTCGCGTGCTAATGGTTCGATTATTCCGTGCCTCTTACGCTGGCTTCAAAATAGCCGATCGTTTCTTAAAAACACAGATATCTACGAACAATATCGATGAACGTTATAGCGAGCGTCGTAAACGCCGCGAAAAAAGAATCAATGTTTTTCTTGTAACGCAATATTCCAGCGAACAGAACACTTTCGCCAGAATCGTCGTGTCACGATTAACAAACCTGCAGTTACAATAAATATTCATCGTTGCGAATAAAAGGAACGAGTGCCAGTGCCGATTTCGAGAAACGATTTCACATCACGTCATCGACGAATTGGTATTATCCGGAACCCCATAATCGGTTCCACCAAAAGGCTCTTCACATGTTTACAACCCCTTTTTACGCGTCATCGATAAGTCAGGTTACAATGTGCTATCGGTA